ATAACAAAGAGGCACTGCAGAATTTAGAAAGTCAGTATTAACTTGCACCATATTATTTTTACCATAGCATACCAGGTAATTCAATGGACCTACGCAGCACTCAGCAGTGTGGAAATGATAGAAGAGAAAAGGACAGGGGACTGAGGACAAAGGAAGTGTTCTTGAAGGACATAACTTCTCTAAACACAAAAATAAATGGAAATATAAAATATATTTATTAAGCATATATTATGTTCTAGGTGCTGTGCCATTGCCTTACGATCTCATTGAACACTCAGAACACCTCTGTAAGTAAATACTACTATCATCCCTACTTTAGAAGAGGAAATTGGAGCAGAGAAGTGATGTGACCTGTATATAAACAACAGAACCCAGACTTAACCCTACCTCACAGATTAGGTGCATTAAACATAGAAAAACAAAATCCAGTTGATCTTTTCACATCAAACAGACCTCTATCACTTTCCTGTATCTCAAAATGTAATGCTAGGAGTCAGAGAATAATTTGTTCTTTTTCAGAGCTATTTCTTTTGCAACTATCTTAACTCTAAAAAAAAAAATAAATAAATAAAATAAGCGTTTGTTTTAAAAACTAAACTACTTTTTTTCCAGAGTAAAACCTTGAAAGATCCTCAATGGAATGTGGAATGAATCATGGGATCCTCCTACTCTAAAGTAGGAAACAAATAAAATGCATGAGTTCTCTCTTTAAGAATGCCCTCGGAAGGATGCTTATGATACACTATTAGATGAAAACAGAAAAATACAGAACCATAAGTGTTATACGATCCTGCTTGGCATATTTATGTGCACAAGAGCAGCAAAGGATGCATTACATACTATGAATGAGAGTTACCAAATGGGGTAGAGAAATGTATTATTAATTTTATCTTTCAATGGCATCAAACAACAACATTTTGTATATGATGAGTTACTTGTGCAAAGAATAATGAGTACAGAGTAAAATTTTTTCAGATTACTATATGATTTTCCTACCTAAGTGTTTGAATTGAGTTTCTGAGTGGTACAAATGGTTAATACATACACTACGTTACTAAGCAGAAGGTCTGAAGGTTTAAGTCCACACCCAGAGGAGCCATTAAAAATCAGCATTGAAATGGTGCACAGGTCTACTCTGATAAACATCATTGCCTTCAGTTGTAAGTTATTGAGTATTACTTGGTTATTGTTTTATTACTGGTTATTGGTTATTACTTGGTAATTGTTTATGTGTCTGAATCGTTTTCCCAGATGATCTTCTTTCTATTCTTAATCCTCTTTTTGCCTTCCTTCAACCAAAGAACCTAATTTTTCATTTGTTTTCCCCACTGACTTTCCATTTCAGGGATTCACTAAACATGGGATTCTCCAACAACAACAAAAAAGGAATCTATTGGTTCTTTCACCTGATTCAAAGATATGCATATCAGTCTGTTAGTAAAACCAGTTAGTGAATATAGAGCATTCTTTATATATACATGGGCACTCATGAGACTTTCTACATTAGGAATATAAACATATTCATATTAGGGAGAAATTCCACATTATTCTTTGCTATATTAAATGCCAAGGAGCTCTGGTAGCGTAGTGGTTACGAATCGGGCTGCTAGCCTCAGGGTCAGCAGTTCGAAACTACCAGCTGTTCTGTGGGAGAAAGATGAGGCTTTCTGCTCCCATAAAGATTTATAGGCTCGGAAACCCTGAACAGGGTCACTGTGAGTCAGAACCAACCCTATGGCACACAACTACAAACCACAATATTAAATGCTGGAGTCCTGGTGTAGTTCTGTGGGTTAATTAGCTGGACTGTAAAGTTGGTTTGAACTGCAAGGTTGGTGGTTCAAGCTCACTAACCACTCCACAGAAACCCTATACAGGGCCGCTATGGGTCAGAACTGACTAGACAGCACTTAACAACAACAACAACATATTAAAAGCCATACAATACAATCTTAATTTAAATGCATTTTGTTTATTTAATTTGCATTACCATTCCATTTATGGCATGCAGAAAGAGAATAGTGTTTTGGAGACCAGAGTTTTGGTCATAGAATCACCAGATTGTTTAAAACACATTCATTTGGTGTTCAAGGACCTTGAAAGGAAAATTCTCGGCAATGATTTAAAACATTATCCTCTTGGGTTAACAGGGCTCTAATGTAGCTGCAAACTGACAGAGTAGGTTTGGTTAGGAAGTATCTACAGAACAAGTACATAAGTTTTCCCCTCCAGTCTACTGCAGAGTAATCAAGAGACTGCTTAGCTCAGTTTTCTGATTAAAACCCTAACAACAATCGCATGAAGGTATGAAAAAGAGAATCATTATTTGTACTCAAGCTGCAATGCTACATTAATCAACTGCATGCACTCTACTGTGCCAAATCTGGGCTGAATATATAACAACCCTGTGGTTAGCATAATTTGTAGTAAATTAAATTAGACTCAACAAACATTTCTTGAGCACACACTAGAGTTCATCATACTGTCTGGGTTTTGCAGAGTCCATAAAGATGGGTACCTCACAGGCTCAACTTTCTAGGGACTTACAATTTAGTTAGGAAGACACCCCAGAATTAACTCTGCTATAAGGCAGAAAATGGTAAGTATGGATACAAAGTAAAGAGAGCACTGGGTGGGGATTGTTTATACTTTAATTCTGGTTTGAACAATGAGAAGACTTCTGGGAAGAGGTAATGTTATAACTGAGGCTTGAATGCCAAACAGGATTATTTAGTAAGTTTGGAAGTGGGACAGGGTGCTATGTAGAAAGAGCAGGGAATCACAAACACAGCAAAATGCAGTATGCACTGCTAGATTTAAGGAAAGGAGTATGTTTACATTGTTGTGTGTGCCAATAAGCCAATTTGACTTACAATGAGCCTATGGGATACACTAGAACTGTCCCATAGGGCTTCTTAAGCTGTAATCTTTATAGAAGGAGTCCTGGAGGTAGTAACTAACTAAATACTCTGACATTAAGCGAAAGTCAGTGGTTTGAACTGAACAGTTGTTCTGAAGGAGAAAGATATGGTAATTTGTTTCCATAAAGATCACAGCTTTGGAAGTCCTATAGGTCAGTTCTGCCATGCTCTATAGGCTCATAGGTTGAGGGTCAGTATGAGTCCGAATCCATTCAATGGCAGTGATTTGGTTTGGCAATCTGTGTGGCAGTAGGTAGCCAGGTCTCTTCTCCCAAGCTAGTGGTAGTAACCTTGAACCTTTTGGCTATCAGGAAAGACTTAACCATTCCACCACCAAAACTCCTTATACTTACATTACCAAAACCAAGCCCGCTGCTGTTGAGTTGATTCTGACTCATTAGCGACTCTGTAGGACAGAGTAGAGCTGTCTCCTAGGGTTTCCAAGGCTGGGATCTTTCTGGAAGCCGACTGTCACTCATCTCCTGTAGGGCAGCTGGTGGGTTCAAACTGCCTATTGTCCGACTGGCAGGTGAGTGCTTAACCACTGCATTACCAGGACTCTTGACGCTTACATTGCAAAGGGATAAAAAGAGACGAGGAAGGAAATGCAGGCTAGGCCCAGAGCAATGATGGGCATAAATGAATGTAATTAAATATATGCTTTATGTCAGCCAAAAGTCAATATACGATTAAGAAAAAAGAGTTATGTTTGGCAGAGGCCTTCTTTATTCATGATTATAAGTATTTAATGCCCTTATTTTTCATGACATTTTATTGAATTATTAGATTAGATTAGATTATATGGATAGTTGTATGTTTTTTTTGGGGGGGGCAGTGAGCAGTGGTTAGGAGATGGTTAGTAGATATTTAGTGGAATCAAAGAAAATGATGATGGGTAAGCTTCCTCGTTAGCAATACTGGGAGCGAACATAGGTAGGATATTCTCCTGGAACACAGGGGAGATTAGGGAAGATGCTGCAAAAGGTCAAGGAGACCCTACTGGATAATCTATTAATGGCAACTGGAGAGTGTTATGATCCCAGCTTTTCTCCTTAATCTTGAAGTCCCAAGAATTGACATATTCCAAATGCAAATGGAGCATCTTAATTAGAATATATATGTTTTGGAACAAATCTCAGCATCCAAATTCATCTCTATTCTTTTCGGAGGAAACGCTAGCTCTTTGCAGGTCAGCAAAAGCTCAATCCAAATGTGTAATGCCTCTTTTCCTTGGTGGTGCAGTGGTTAAGTGTTAGGCGGCTAATCTACACTGTGAACACACCAGCTGTTCCATACACGAGGATATGTTAATCTTGCGAATCCAATGAGGCAGCTTTATTCTGTCCTATAGGGAAGCACAGGAGTCCTGGTGTGGCACCGTGGGTTAATGCGCCAAACTACAAAGCCATTTGAACTACAAGGTCAGCGGTTCAAGCTCACCAGCTGCTCCTTGGAAACCCTGTACAGGTTCGCTATAGATCGGAATTGGCTCAACGGCACTTAACAACAACATACGGAAGCACAGTGGCTCCATAAGAAATGCACTAGACTATAAACTACAAAGTTGGTGGTTCGAGCTCACCAGCTGCTTCTCGAGAGAAAGGTGTGGTTTTCTGCTCCCATACAAGATTTACAATCTCAGAAACCCTATTCAGAGTCTATATGAGTTGGAACTGACTCAAGAACAAACTTAACAACAACAACAACAAATAGGGTTGTTATGAGTCTTAATAAACTAGCAAAGAATGGATTTGGTTTGAGTTTCATTTGTTTGGCATATAGGATTTGCTCTTGTCTACTAATCGAAAGATTGGTGTCTCTAATTGTCCAATTTTTGTTTGCTGAAGAAAGTCCTGGTGATCTGTATTCATAAAGATTACTGTCAAGAAAACACTATGGATCTCGGCCCTACTCTATAGCAGATGGGGTTGCCATGATTTGGAATGGATCCTTTGGCCAGTCCTCTCAAGACGAGAGTCCTGGGAACCTACAGATTCAGGGATGATTTCATGTTGCCTGGAAGAATCGTCGCCTAGACACATAGCACAGGGCTGAGATGCTTTTAAAACCTACCATTCTAACTCCATTTTCAAAGGCTTGCCGGGTGAGTGGAGCTGGCCCGTCCACGGTCTTGCCATCATCATCTGGGCCCCAGCTCGCGCTGTAAATGTGGACGTGCTGGGGATTGAAGCTAACTGACTTTGCTTCAACCATGTCCGTGACATCCCCATCCAGCATTCGCACTCCTTTGAAACAGACAGGGAGAAGACTGATTACAAACAGCCCATGACATATTTCAGATCCAGGATATTTGGGGGGGGGGGGGGGATAAACTTTTATTATTTTAATATTTAAGTGAACCTGTTTCCCAGTAAAAAGATAATGGAGACATTACTGGAGGAGAAAGGAAGTTATACTGCATGTCAAAGAGGAAAATGTCTTTAAAATTTCTGGATGCAATGCTTTTTCCAAGTCTACAAATGCCACAGCAGGTATCACGATTTGTCTCTTTTCTTCTTCCTCTCTTAAGAGAGTATTTAACAAAGAAAGCCTCAGGCAATCCATCTTCCCTAAATTTCTTTTCATTAGGTGCCTAGTGTTCATAATTGCTATAAAACATTCTGACCTTTGTAGTCTCACAAATTTTGAAAAACTGCCAAATTAGGTTGGTCTAATTTCCTCCATATTTAACATTATCTCCTGATGCGAACTCAATATAGCACTTCTTTGCCAAGTTATTTATGACTCAAATAATAAATGAGAATGTTCTCTGTGCATGTAACACTTCAAATAATTCTCAGAGGATTTGAGCCATGTTCAGTCATTAATCTTCATTTAAGTGTATTACTGTGAGACAGGAACTGCTTATTGCCCCTGTTTTGTAAAAACAGAAACTAAGATACTCAGAAACAAATTATATGTCAAATACTAGACTTTCATGCTTTCCTGTTATTTTGGAGACTTGCATGAGAAAATCCATGTCTGTTAAGAACAGAGGAAATCAACAACAACAGAATATCTCATTGCTAAGGAAACATATTCCTATTTCTGATTAAAATAAACACCGCAATATATTATTTAAGAATAATATCTTTACATCCCACATTTATTCCTAAGGATAATCGTATTATGCAATAGATTTTAAATTTTTATCAGTTGCCAATAAATGAGGATTAAGTGATGAAAATCCCAAATCAGGCAGCTTTAGATACTATGTGATTTGAGATAGGAATACTGCTAAAAAATAAAATACTCTTGAAGGAATTATGTCATCTTTGCCTTTTTACAAAAAAAGTGCAACATTTAACTATAAAAATTTCAAACTCAGAAAAATAGAATAGTATAATAAACATTGATAAAATCAGTACTCAACACTTGGTAAGATTCCGCCAAATTTTCTTCATCTAAATATATATTTGGTTGAACCATTTTAAACGACATTGCAGATAATATGACACTTCATCCCTGAATACATTTTACCAAAAATATGGAAATTAGGTCCCGCTATCATCAAACACTCAGTCAACATTACATTTCCCCCAAGCATCCTGAAAGACATTGCATTTGGTTGTTATGTCTCGTCAGTGCCTTTTTCTCTCAACTTTTTTTTTTTTTTTAGATGTCTGTTAACAAGTAGTGCTGAGAATAAAGATTGTGAACAAGTCTCTTTAAAAATGATCAAATAGAAACAATATTAAGAAGACTTGTCATATGTTTGTCCTGTCCTGTGGAATAAAGTATCCAGCAGAAAACTCTGCGTATAATGACCCCACCATTGTTGTTTGTTTGTGTTTTCTTTAAATTAAAATAATTGAATATTCAAAATTCATCTATCACAGTATCAAAGATTGTTACACTAATTCATATCCTTACAATTTAAAGCAAGAAATGGAGCTATTTTATCTATAAAGGCAGGTCTGAAATACCAGACAGCTACCCAAAATAATGTGCCCACTATTTCTAAATTAAGGAGCTCTGGTAGCGTAGTGGTTATGAGTCAGACTGCTAACCACAAGGCTGGCAGTTCGAAACTACCAGCCGTTCCAGGCTTTCTGCTCCCATAAAGATTTACAGCCTCAGAAACCCTGTGCAGGGTCACTATGAGTAGGAACCAACGCCACGGTACTTAACAACAAATAAACAATTTCTAAATTGGACTTCTGGTGTGGCGCTGTGGGATAAATCACTGAATCACAAGGTCGGTTTGAACCACAAGGTCAGCAGTTATATCTCACCAGCTGCTCCCAAGGGTCGCTGAGATTGAAGCAACTCCATGGTATTTAACAACACTACATTTAAATGCCACATACAGGTGTATTTATACAACACCCTCCTGAACGCAGTTGTTATGCTATGAGGAGGCTTCAAAGTTTGTGGGGAAATGGAATAAAAAAAATAGTGGAATTTTTCCAGGAACTTTCCGAAGGCCCCTGGTAGTTATGTGAATTCCACCAAATAAAATGCTGAATAAAATCATATTAAAAAGATAACACTTCTGACTGGAAATCTACAAATAAGAATTCCATTTTTTCAAGTTTAAATTTGAAAGACTGCTTCTTTTTCCTCAATCCAACCAACTCCAAAGCTTCGGGCTTTGAGCTTGAGGGGATAAAGGTACAACTTAGAATGTTCTTGCTTTAGACAGTTAGGAAGTTTGCAAGTCATTTCCATACATTCATCTCTTTCCACTAAAGTACTGGTGTGGCACTGTAGAATAAGCATTAGACTGCTAACCACAAGCTTGGTATTTTAAACTCACCAGGGTGCTCCTTGGAAACCCTACACAGGGTCACCACGAGTGGAAACCAACTGGACCGCACTTAACAACTGTTTAGCACGTCAGTCAGCATTTAGTTGTTATGTCACAAGTTCATCTCCCTCAAGGTCAGTGAGAGTGTTGGGTGGAGAATAACGATCAGGATATGGACAGCAAGAGGGGATGATTGAACAGCCACTATGCTGTTGACTGGGGTCTCCAACACCCTCATCATTCTTCAGAGAAAAGCCTTTGTGTCCTTTCCTTAGTTCTTTCACAAATATGCCCCATATACACAGCAGATGTTATCAGAGTACAGCTAATTACTAGTTAACAAGCAGCCACACTCCAAGAATTCAAAATGAAATAAAAGAAATTTAGAGGTGAAATTTACTCTGGACTGATACTCGAGATAGATTCAGAAAGCGATTTCTTAGAATCATTATTAGACACCTGAACTATTCCATGTTACAGGACTTCTATATTTTATGCCCTTACCTCCAGAGAAGATTGTCATTTTTATTCTTCAGTTTCAACTCTATTTACCACGTGGAAACAAATAGTACACACAGTGAACTGAAAACAAATAGGTCACTGTGGTCCCAGGAACTTCATTCATCTTACAAGACCCTGAGGGGACACCTCTAGGCCAGATGTAATAAAAATGCCACCAGGATCAACTATCCTATCTGTTATGATGGTCTTCTCATTTATATGTGACTTGGCACCAAGCTGCTACTAACAAAGGTTATTATAAATGGGATAGCTAGCATTTGCTCTTATTCATGCTTAGATTTATGCTGCTTTGGTTGGGTCCTTGTAATGAACGTGTGCATGTTTAAGTCTGTGGGTATGCATAGATATGTATGTTGCTGCTAATTGTCATTGCATTGGTATCGGCTCACAGTGACCCTGTATAGAGTCTCCAAGGAATCAGTGACCATGTGGTTCGTAGTCCAGTGCTTATCCTATAGTGCCACACCAGGACTCTATGGGCACGTATAGCGGTGGTGGTGATTTAACCGGTAATGAAAAGAATTTCATTGCAATATGGGACTACAAAAAAAGATTTTACCATTTCCCATTTTAATTGTGAATAAAAGAAACTCTTCATGAAGATTAAGCAAAAGACAGAATTTCCCTCCACACAATTATTATTGACTGGCGTTGATATGATTGGTGCTTTCTGACCCAAGCACCAATCATATAGTGATATCACTGACCCTATCTTTTCTAGTAGTGCAGTGGTTACAAGTTGGGCTGCTAATCGCAAAGTCAGCAGTTCAAAACTACCAGCGGTTCCATGGGAGAAAGATGAGGCTTTCTGCTCTCGTAAAGATTTACAGCCTCGGAAACCCTATGCAGGGTCACTATGAGTTGGAATCGACTCCACGGTATATAACAACAACAACATCTTCTCTAGTAGACATTTCTTCATGCCTGTTTAAAGAAAGAAATGTCTGTGCTTGCAAGACTGTTTCAGAAGTCTTTGACTATTATTAACACATATTAACACTGGTCATTTTGCTGTGAGCAATCGTTGAACACTATTATGCAAACATAAGTTCAAAAGGCTTCTGAAAACCATTTAGTTTTGAGAGCTCCTGGCTCATTTCTATATCTCCATATTTGTTTCCCATACCTCCGATCTTGGCGTTGAAAGCAATTCCAACTGTGCAATGAGAGTTGTTTGCAGCCGCTGCCACTTCTCCAGCACAGCGAGTCCCATGCCTGCAGGCAGAACACACACACTTTCTAAAGTAAGACACTCCATTCTCACAAACCCAACAGTCATTGCCACCACTCAGACTCCCAAGTGGTGAAGAATGTATCAAGCTGTGATGTTCCCAGCACATAGTCTGCCCATGGCAAACTTTCAGCACTTAATTTCATTCTGTTTTGGATTATATTCTCAATATGCTTATGAGTGATATCCTGCTTTGCCAAGCAGAAACCCCCTTGAAGGCTAACCCAAAATTGGAAGTTTACTTCTAATTCCATTCTCCAAAATTGTGCTATGTAATATGGTAGCCACCATGCACACTGTGGGTGTTGAGCACTTGAAATATGGCTATTGAGATTCTGATCTGAGTTTCAAATTTTATTTCAAATTAAAAGCACACAAGCATATCATTTATCAGAAAACTTCAGAATGTAAGGATGTGAGTCTACTTTTGAACTACTAAATTTAAATATAGGCCAAGTATTTCCAATGAAAATTTACCATCTAAAAAGGGATGTACTTCAAGTGCAAAAGACACTCCAAACTTCAAAAAATGATACGAAAAAAGCAAATATTAAGAATTGTTTTATATTAAGTACATATCTAAATATTTTACTTAACAAAAGATATTAAAATTCATTTCCCCTGTTTCTTTTCACTTTTTAAACATTCATCTTATTGTATTTCATTTCATTGCAATGATTACAAGCCCCTCCACGCTTCATCATTCAACAGCATTTACTTCCATCCCCTCTATTTTTGGTTTTTGGATGTATACCAAAGCAATCAGGAATATATAACCACTCAAACAACCAAAGGGTAAACCTTGCAAGCCTGCACGCTGGCTGTCAGCACACAGCCCCTCTCCCTCCCTGAGTCCAGTGTCCCCGGCTGCTCCATCTCTCCACGTCATCATCTCTGCCTCTATCTCTGGTGTCACTGCTTCTCTGGATAGGGTACTGCACTCTGCTCTTCTCCCTTGATGGTCCCAGGGTCCTCCCCTTCTGGACCTTAAGATCAACCACTCCCCTCCTTTTGTTGCAAATGTCAACCTTTACATTTGCAACACTCAGAGTCAGTCCTGATAGCAATTATTTACTATTGAACCACAAGAGTCTTATCCTCATCTCCTTTCGCCAGCCCCGTCCAGACAGGTTGGAAACCACTCAATGGAGATTCTACCTTTCCCCGCACGCTCTGGAGCTAGGCTCCCTCTTGAAAGCTTGTAAGCCAGTCACTTTGTGCTTTTGTAGCTCCCCCATTTTGGGTATCCAGTGTCTAAGTTGCCATCCCTGTCAACACTGTGTACCGAGGGGGTGGGAATGATCCTCGCTGTAAAGATTTGTTCCCTCTTTTGAGCTACTCCATCCATTAGGATAAGTCAAGTTCATCAAATTGTAGTGAATTACTCCGCTTTCTTCCTCTAGTTGAGTTCTGATCATCCAGCCATTGAAACCAGGTCAAATGGGTACTATGGGTGTTGTTGTGCATTTCCCCTCACTTCATATCAGCTGGATACTTCACTCTCCACTCTAGTCCTCTGTGGCCCATGTTCCTGTCCCTGGGTCCAGGAGTCCCCAGGTCTTGCCATACTGCTGGCCAACCAGGTCTTAATCCAGGTTGACAGGAGTCTATTGAACATTGTCAGACTTAGCTCACAACTTCATTGCTGTTTTTCCCTCACTTTCCCTTATTGGTAGACCAACGTGGAGACTGTAAATCTTGATGAGAGCAGATTGCCTCAACTTTCCCCCACAGAGTGCCTGGTAGGTTTGAATTGCTGACCCTTCAGTTTTCAGCCGAATGCTTAACCCATGATTCTACTGAAGCTCCTTTTTAAATGAAATGAGTACCCCAGCTGCTCCATGGGAGAAAGATGAGACTTTCTGCTCCTGCAAAGATTTACAGTCTCAAAAACCCTATGGGATTGCTCAGTTAGAACTGATTCTAATATAGGTACTTAACAACTATAAGAAGTAGAAAATTAAAATGTTTCTTCAGAAGAACATTCCTTGCTGTTTCTTGTAATAATTTTGTTCCTGGATCAGAGACATCCCATAGCTGAAAGGACATCTAAGATCATCTGGTCCAAGAATGGAAAGCTTTCAAGTGCAAATGCAAGCCATTAAAAAATGGTGTCACAGAAAGAAGGTATTGAAAGAATTATAGCATGGGATTTGAACTCAGAGAAAGAATGTTGATTGATGACTAATGTCTGCCATGAGTGCAGAAGAGGGGTAAGACAATGATTATCCTGCCATTGTTGTTAAGTGCCGTTGAGTCGGTTCCGACCCATAGCGACCCTGTACAGGGTTTCCGAGGGTGTAAATCCTTACGGGAGTAGAAAGCCTCATCTTTCTCCCGCGGAGCAGCTGGTAGTTTCGAACCGCTGACCTTAAGGTTCGCAGCCCGATTCGTAACCACTACGCTACCAGAGCTCCACTGCTTAACAAGTCCAATTCCCATCATCCCATTTGTATGTTATCGTATGGATTGGCACAGTGACAGCGGCAATGTGCTCAAGGGTAGCAATGAGTGTGTGGTTGGTGCAGGACTGGGCAGTGTTTCCTTCTGTTTTTCATAAACTTGCTATGAGTTAGTATTGATTTGACAGAACCTAACAACAACTACTACATATGTAGAGATGAGGGAAACCTAAGAACCACTAAAAGGAGTCTTGGTGGTACCATAGTTAGGCACTTGGCTGCTGATTCAAAGGTAAAAGTAAGAGCACACAAGTGGTTCTGAGAGAGAAAAGACTTGGCAATAGGCTCACATAAAGATGGTTGTTGTTGTGGATCATCCAGTTGGTTCCCCTTCATAACGATCCTATACAGGTTTCCAAGGAGCAATTGGTGCATTTGAACCTCTGACCTTGCGGTTAACAGTCCAGGACTTGTTTTCCAGCCTAGAAAACCCTATGGGGACAGATTTACTCTGTCCTGTAAGGGAGCTATGAGTTAAAATCAACTCAACAACACACAACAAGAAGAATTAAGATGTGAAGCAATTTATGGAAAGAAGTGCATGAGGTATGCCTACTGCCTGCACAGCTCTAAGCAATCACTGCTCACCACTGGCACGTCAACACATGCAACTGTACACAAAAGATATACTATATATGGCTTTTTTCACTTAGTAGTTCCATGCACCTCTTCCTATATAAATATTTGTATATCATTCTAATGGTTTAATAATATTATTCTGACCAATCCATTATATGGAATATACGAGAGGGCTTCAAAAAGCTTATGGGAAAATGCCAGTATATTTTCATTCCATTTTTTCCGTGAACTTTTTTATAAAGTCCCCTCTTATTGCCAATATATATATATGGAGCTCTGGAAGTGTAGTAGTTATGAATCGGGCTGCCAACCACAAGGTCAGCAGTTTGAAACTACCAGCTGTTCCGCAGGAGAAAGATGAGGCTTTCTGCTCCCGTAAAGATTTACAGCCTAGGAAAACCTGTTCAGGGTTGCTATGAGTCGGAACTGACTCCACGGCACTTAACAAATATATATATACACACACACACACACACACACACACACACATGTTGTAATTTTTTGAACAAATCCTATTTCTGAAATTTTACCCAGCTTTTTGCTAATATTTGATGGCTGTGAAGAACAATCTTCCATACACATATCATTTTACATCTCGAGAAAAACTTCCTAAAAGTAGAATTACTGGATCAAAAGTACACAGTTTTTCTAATATATTGTCAAAATGCTTAACAATTCCACTAACAGTAAGGAGAACCAATAATCAAAGTGCATGAAAACAATAAAATTGAAAAATATTACTACAAAGCATTAACTTTTTGTGCTGGCGGAAAAAAAAAAAAAAAAAAAAGCCAAGTTGAATATGAAGAACAGACAAAATGTCCAAGCAAATCCATGTACACTATGAGTTTTTCATTCCTTTTATTTCTTTACAATCTGACAAAAATGTTATATTGTTACTTCTTTTCTTCCCCTGATGAAATTTGACAAGCTGTATATCTTGCTTTATGAATAAACTTTTCTTGACCATTGCCTAATCTTCTTACTGCCTTTTTCAGCATCTCTGTTGAATATACGCTTTCAAACTTGTTATTAGGAATATAACAATCTTGTCTGTAATATAATGTAATTATCTTGTTCTTGTGGTATTAGGTTGTACAACCTTACTCATTAGAAAAATGACCAATTTTCAAAAGAAAAAAATATTTCTTTTGTTAAGTCCCAAGCTCAACTGCTAATCCTCATCACTCCCAAACCTAGCAAATACTATGATACACGAAATACAAACAAACCGATGGCCATCGAGTCGATTCCTACTCATAGGTACCCTATATAGGGTTTCTGAGAGAGTAAATCTTTCCTGAAATCGACAGCCTCATCTTTCTCCTGTAAACCGACTGGTGGGTTTGAACCACTGACCTTGTGGCTAGTAGTCTAGTGCTTATCTCACAACACAATTAGAGCTCTTTACTATAATCTACATTAGGGTCTGAATACATATTAACTCATGTTGTAAATTGTTTAGATTCTAACATCTATTCTTAATGGAAGTCCTGGTGTGATGCTGTCGGTTAATGTGCCAGACTGCAAAACCATTTGAACTGCACAGTTAGCGGTTCAGGCTCACCAGCTGCTCCTCAGAAACCCTATCCTAGGTCGCTATGGGTCGGAACTGACTCGATGGCACTTAACAACAACAACAACAGCAACATTCTCCTTAATGAGAAAAACTGATCTTATGCTTCATTTTATCAATTATTAATTAATTAATGCAAGTTTTCTGGAGCAAGAGATCGCTGCTGTCTTTAAGTTAGGGAGTTAAGTCCATTTACTGTTCCTTAATACAAACTGAGATATAACAAAATGTGCAAAGACCTGTAGTTAGAAAACCAAAATGGAAGAACACACTCAGTATTTCTCAGGTTGAGGGAATAAATTTAAAAATCCAAGTCTTGATTTGAAATATGAAATATGAAAGGTTTCTATGGCCAAAATATTGAAGA